AAACCTTTTTTGCCAAAAGAGGTGCAAAACTCTGAATCTTCGTCTGCCTGTGAAAGGCTGCAGGGCAGCACAAGCGAGGTGTCAGGTGAACGCCAGGCAGTCGCACACTGCGCTGCTGCCTCCCATTCCATGCAGCTGAGGCAAAGGATACCTGCCTTCATTGAGAGCTCTGACTCCTTCACAGAAGAAACCTCTTCTGGTGAGGAATATCACATAAGGGAAAAGAGATCAGAAGCGTCCAACAGAAAAGCAAACGGTGCTGTTAATCAAACTGCCAAGCCTTCAGCAGCAAAACCGAGTGAAGCCAAGGGGGACAAGGTGCACAAAACTCTTGCTTTTTTTTCAAAGGCAGCTGATGACTGGTCTCCAAAGGAACTGCAGAAGCTGCACAGGCAAGTGGTTCCCTTGTCTTCAGAGGGCAAAGCGTCTCTCAGATAGCAGGAGGCATAATTTGGGTACTGGAATGTTTGGCTGGTGGTCTTCTGAATTTAGATTTCTCAGGGTTTTGGTTTTGAAGCAGCCCCACATTATTTTATATTTCCTTCTGCTGTAATTCCCTCTTACGAAATACTTCTGGCTCACAAATTAAAAGAACAGTAGAATGAAGCAGACCAGGATTTCCTGCAGTAGCTGTGGTGTGTGAGCTTGCAGCAGCCCTCGCCTCTTCCACGTAATGCAGAGTGAGAGGAGCACAGTTAGCAGCTGCAATTTGGTGTTCAGTGCTCCTCCACTGCTTTCCAGATATGCCTGCTTTTTTGTGAGACAGGCATCTCTACGAACAAAGCTGAAAAACACATTAACATGTATTCTAGGAGTACTGATATATAGACAGTAAAAGTGGTCATATTTCTCTTCCCTGATGGACTAAAACACTAACCATGTGGTGTTTGTGTATTTAGATCTGGTGGAGGCATTGTCCATTTAGCACATGGGACAATTACTTAATTAGCTACTGGGCAGTGTTTAATATACATGCAGTGTTGGAAAATAGCCAGGTTTAGCTGTGTTTTTTGCTTTGTAAGGATGATGTGCGCCTCGCACCAGGCGTTCACATAACAGCTGCATGTTACAGTGCCTCTGCTGCACGCCAGCTCTCCCCACGCAGTGCACTTGGGCACGCTGTTATTCTCAGGTGCGTGGCAGTGCAGCTCAGATTCTCCTGTATGAGGAAGGCTGTGCTTCTGTTCTCTTGGCAGGGCAGTGGCTTCGTTTCCCAAGCACAAGAATGGTTTCTGGGTGGAGGTGGCGATGGCTGTCGGGTCTCGTTCTGCTGAGGATTGCCAGCAGAAGTACACAGAAGAACAGGCAAAAACTTCCCAGAGACCTGCCACAAAGAAAACCGGGTCAGGAAAGCCAGGACAGAAAGGTACTGAGCGCTTGGCTCTGACTATAAGTTGGTTTTTGCATTTGGAATTTGTTATTTATTGTATAATGGGGGATGCAGCCATAAGCGCGCACACGCCTGATAAATACACAATAAGCAGTTCTTTGTTTTATTGTGCTTGGATTGAAGTCCTGTAGTAAAGGAGGTTATCTTCTACACTGCAAAGGTTTGTTGCAGAGCTTGAGGGATGTTGTAGCAGAAATGCTGTCACAGCCTGAAGCAGTGATGGAGCACCTGGTGGGAAGGCAGAGCCAACCAGGGGAGCTCAGGTGCCTGCAATGGAAGGTGCCTGAGTGGTGGAAGGGCTGGAGCCAGGATCCTCCCCTTCCCAGACCTCACTGAAGGTTGGCAGTGCAGGTGAGGGCGTCTCTTGCTGGAGATCCCTGCATACTCGAGGTCTCCCAGAGATGAGCAGCTCTCTTCCTTCAGTTCTGCATCTATGGCTGCTGCCTTTGGGCTTGCTCTCATTTGCTGTATCCAAAGGCTGCAATTATCATCCCATTGCATTACAGATGTCATAAGAGACTGAAGCAAAAAGGAGAAGAAAAAGGGCAATTTAGAGTTTTTTCCAGGCAGGCTTAACCTGCGTTTCTCGCCTAGGAGGAGGCAGCTGTTTATAAGGCTGTGGAGTAACTTTCTGATTAAGATGTAGGAAGGATTTATTTTTGAAAGTGTAAATTGTATGGAAATCCAGAGGACCACAAAGAAGCTGTGAGAAGTTCCCATGAGAGAAAGAACCTTATTGCTAGCACTGATCGATTCTATGATTCCATTCTGTCCTACAACTCCATTCCATGATTCTCTGATTGCATCCAACTAATTTAAGAGTATGCTTTGTAATTAATGTCTTAGAAAAAGTAATGCTTGGATTCATGTAGATAAGACAGAGCCAGTTGCAATAACTGCCAAAGTGGGAACCTTCAAAAGAAAGCAGCAGATGAGAGATTTCCTGGACAATTTGCCAAAGGATGACCATGATGATGTTTTCACTGCTACACCCTTTCAAAACAGAAGAGTGAGGGTAAGTAAATCTGGGAAAGCTGTACATATCCACGTGCTTCTCTACTGGTAGTTGAAGGGTGTGCTACAAGGCAGCTGGTCAGTGCCAGTTGTGGTTTGGGGAGGTGAGGGTTACCCACCTGATTCATTTTTGCAGTGCTTTGGTTGCTGAGAGGGAGAACGTGGAGCATGGCTTCCTGCTGTTGTCTGTCCAAACTGGCTCCACTCAGTGATGCACGAGCCTTGATCTGGTACTCATCCAAAAGCAGAGCAACACGTGGCTCACTGAAATGCCAGCATTTAGGCACTGGTAGCTCCCTTGCTTTCTGTAGGCTGCGCTGTGCAACGGAGCAATCCCTGTGACAGATCTGTGCAGGCTGGCCATGAGAATCCATGCATCCACGTCCAAGACTTCCAAGATGATGGAAGTTCTGTGTTTCTGGTGATGTGCTGCTCCTCTCTGAACCTTTTCAGCTCTCCTCTCTCCCTTTGAAATGGAAGGACTGCAAGTTCCCTGAGAATCCTGTAATCTTCCTGAGAAGTAATGGTCAACTCTGAGCCTGGAATTTTAATCAGACTTTTTTCTTTTTAATAAGTGGTAGTAACCAAAAAAGGGGCAGCAAAATGTTGGGTATCTGCAGGAGCGTTGAAGTGAGACCATGCTGTTGGCTGGCCGCCCTGCGGCGTCCTCACATACCTGCATTCAGCATTGCTGTGTCCTGCTGCTATCTGCATCTCAGGAGGGGTGTGTAGAGGAGTCAGGAAAAGCATCTGCAGTGAGCAGAGGGATGGGGAGAGAACAAAGCCTGGGCCTGTCAGTGTGGGGAGCAGGGGTACAGCTGGGGTGCAGCTGCTGGCTGCGATCGCTCTGAGGCGGAGTGGTGAGAGGCCTCTTAAGCAGGCCTGGAAGAAGGGCAGATCTTTGAGTGCTCTGGTCTGTCTTTGTAGTTGCCAACGTTCCTGGGAAGCCATGACGAGGATGATGATGATGATGACTTTGCACTTACAAACAACCCCATCACACCTTCCTCAGCTGTCTTCCCTCTGGCCAAAACCCCTCAGTGTGAGCACATCAGCCCTGGTATGCTGGGACCTATCAACAGGTGGGAACTGCATGAATGCTGCTGTTCCTTTGCTAATGCTTTCCTTTCTCATTTCTTCTGAGAAAGACCACTCAGAAGGGATTAACCTCCAGTATGCAGAATGAAGGCTGCAGGCCTTAAGGTATTTGTTTAGGGAGAACTTCCATTTGACAGCTGTGCAGTTTGAGCTGCTCAAGTAAGCGGGCAGCTAAAAACACTGGCAATAAAGCTTCAGGCTTTATTGGAATAAACTGACACCCTCTTTAGTGAGAAGTGGTATTTTCATATAATGGTTAATGGACATTCTGGGAAGATAAAGCTTTTTGTCTGATATTTGCATTATGAGTTCTATGCACGTGATTAAATTAAACTCCTCTGCGTTGAGTCATACTCCAGGGACTGTTGCTATATTTAATTGGCCAACAACTGTTTTAAATAGCCCTGCTAATCTTCTTTCTGGACTGGAACTGTGTGTGCTGCCTGTAGCTGCACGTAGCTGATGCCCTGAGCAGAGCACACCACTGCCACTGACCTGTTTGTTGATGCTTGCAGGAAGGACTGCGACAGACATGTGTTCAGGATGCAGAAAACTCAGGGCTGCAGGAGCAGCTGGGACAAAGTGAAGAAGCAGCAGGTAATGCTGGCTTCCTGCCTGTGGGTTTTCCACCTTGTGACAGTGCAGGTTCTGCTAAGCAGGAGGATCCCTGGCTCGCAGTGTGGGCACAGAAGGAGCACAGGACCTGTCTCCATTGACACCAAACTTCTGGGTTTTGTATCTATGTACTTCAGAGAAAAGTTACTTCTATTATGATTTATTGTCTTGATCAGACAGGCTGTCTTTTTCAGGGTCTGTAATTGCTTTTGGGTTCTGAGACCTTTCTGATGCTTAAAATTCCTGCTATCTTTTTCCTGTACAATGGGGGAGGAAGTGGGACTCCCCACCTTGCACCCTGAATTTATGCTCCTTTCCTGGCCTTGCCTTGGTAGTTCTGCCTCTTCCATGAACAGCCGTGATCCCAGAAGCAGAACAATGCCACTGGTTTAGACAGAGATTTTGGTAGATGAGCACTTTAAGTCTGGTGTGCAAATGTGGCATAGCAGTAGGGCAGCTGCACTCTAATGGAACGCTGTGCCTTTCCTTCCGCCCTCCCAAATGTTTCCCCTTTCCTGTGCTGCTGTCACTGCTGAGTGCAGACCTTTCCTTTTTGGCAGGCTGGCCCTTTGCATGGCACACCAGCTTCGAGCAGAACCAAGTTCACCTTTGATAAAAGTAAGTGTGTTTTGTTTCTCCTTCACATCAGCTTTACTCACCTTCACGCTGCTGCTGCTGTGTGGGTGTTCACAACTGCACTCAATCATTTTCCACCATCCTGTTTCTCACAGGACCTTGAGCTGCCTTGCCAGCTCAGGCACACACACACTGATGCTCTCCTCCCTGTTTTTCATGTTGCAGAAGCACAGCAGAGCCCTGCTGTAGGGAAGCTCTTTGTGGCTGAGGCAGCAGATACATCAGATGAAGAACAGGAAGATTCCTATTTTTCTGTTTGAACTTCTGGAGGTTTTATTTAGTATTTATGAACTTGTATAAAAAAGCCAAAGGAGGAGCTTCAGCCACCTCTCTGATGTGCTCCTGTGTTCCTGCTTGAAGCTCGTTTTGGCTGACCTGGCCTGCAGTGGAGCTGTGGTTGCAGCCTGTTGTCAGCTGGGTGCTGCTCAGCACTGAGGATGGCTTCTCCTGTGTGCAAAGTGGAACTTCCTTGCCCAGGTTCCCCCTTCCTTTGCCGTGTTTCTCCTGCTGAAGGCAGAGATGTGCTCCCATACACAGGTTTGCTCTAAGATGAAATCTAGGAATGTTGCTGTACAGTATGTTTTTAATAACACAGTTTGTAATGAATTGAAAGTGCCTTATACTTTGAAATTTTTTTTAACGTGAATGCAGTTTTATGAGCTTTAAAGAAGCAGTGGTCTGAAATTGGTAGGGACTGTTATATGTAAGCACTTGTTTTAAAATACTGCTTCCTGTTCCCTGTCAGCAGTGCTCAGTACTTTTAGTGTAGTACAGAAGAATAAAGCTTTGAGCATCTCTTTTCTCTGCATGGGAGGTAACAGGAAAAAGTAATTTGTAGTTCTTCAGCTCAGGAACTCACGCTGCAGGCTGTCACGCTCTGGGCCCCATGCCTGAGCTGCTGGGTGCCCCTTTCTGCCTGCTCCTTACTGGGAGAACCTTCATGTGCTCTGAAATAAATTTGCAGGGCTTACATTTGAGCCGAGCTGCTTTGAAAGCGGCTGCTGAGCTCTGCTGGGCTCTCCAGCTTTATCTTTCCTGGAAAGATCAGAGAGCCCTCTGCATGCGTGGAGATGGGCACAGCTGTACCTTCCGGGGGGAGCAGCTTCTGCTGTCCCTCTGCCACTGCTGCAGTTGGTGACAATGGGCACAGAACCATCCCAGCAGCACCACGTATGTCTGATGTGAAATCACATACTGTTAAGGTAAGGTGGAGTGAAGCCTGTGAGTAATTCCTGTGCAGATAAGACAGCTTTTCTTGAATTTCTGCCATAATTATTCGTATGGCCTTAATTGAAGCTGTGAATGGTGAGTAAGGGCCTCTGCTTGCCCTATTCCTTCCTACTGCAGGACTTCAGTCAGCTGGGCAGGGCAGGGAGCAGCTTGGGGGCATTTCTTATGGGGTGAGGGGGGGAAATAACACCATGGAGACCCGAGGAGCAATCCTGCACAGAGCAGTGGGGTGGGAGCGAAGGAGGGCAGCTCTCTCACCCTTTTCAGCTCACTGGCACCACTCCACCTTGCAGCGTGTGTGAGCGCAGCTCCACTTCCCTGCCTCCAAAGGAAAAATTGCTGGTGAGAAGGAAAAGAAGTTAAAGGTGAGCCTTCTTCCAGTTGACGTGGCTCCCGTTGAGTCCTCTGTGCCTCAAGGGCAGGCTGTCCCTGTGCAGGGCTGCAGCCAGCTGCTGTGTGACAGCACACGCTGCTACAGCAGGGTGCTTCTGCTGAGGCCCCAGCATTGCCCTGAGCTGTGGGTGTCCATCCCTGGAGGTGCCATGGCTGGGGATGTGGGCTGTGGGGCCTTCCCCACCTGGCTGTGCAGTGGCTCGATGAAGGTGGGTGCTTACTGCCCTGCTTCCATCCATCCCAGCCGTAACCCTGAGGACTGCTCTGTGATCTGTGCAAAGCAGCACCGCTGCCCTGCTGCTGGTGTCTGAGATAATGGCTCATCTTTAGGCAGTGTGGCACCACCACTCATCCGTCACAGCAAGGAAAGTAACTACTGTCCTTCCCTGTTAGACACAGTCTCTGTGCCCCAAACCCCAGTGTTTCTCTGAGGATTTATTTACATATTTTACAGCGACTGTAAACTCAGTAAAGTGCAATCGAAAGAGCAGCCCTGCGTCCCTCTCCTCAGCTCCTGAGGGCGGTGTTGCTCTTCCCCTTGGCACAGAGGCTCTCGGGCAGCATCTGTGTGTCGAAGCCATAGCGCAGGTAGCGGTACGTCTCCTCTGCGCACTGCGGGCTCACCTGGGCACCAGCAGCAATGTCTGATGGGGAGCTGCAAGAGAGCACAGGGACACTGAGCCCGGGGTGAGGGGTGGGACACAGCAGGGGCAGCCTGAGCTGCGTGGGGAGCAGAGCGGAGTGAACCCAGCTCAGGAGGGCTGCTGGGAACCAGGGAGTGCTGTGAAAGGAAAGGGAAGGGCGCAGCGGCGAGAGAGGTGGAAGCAGGGATCATTGACAGCCACAGCATGAAGAGATTGAGATCCATGAGGAACAGCACAGAGCTGGGGATGGGAACTGGGGGAGCTCTGGGAGTGAATTCAGCACAGCCAGCACCCTGAGTGTGAGACAGTGAGAAAGCGAGGCCTCCAGAGCCCAGGGTGCTGCCCTGCTGTTACCTGTTGACCATCGTCCTCACAGAGCTGAAGTGGTGGCACATGTTGAGAGCAGCCAGGTAGCTGATGTTGGGAATGCTCAGGTAGAAGTTGAGCATTTCCTGCTTGTGCCCCTCCACCTCTGTAGGCACGCAGATGGCAGCGTTCTTCCTCTGCTCCAGCAGGGCCAGCTCCTTCAGCAGCACCGCCGTCTCCTCTTGGCAAGAGCTGAACAGAACCCGGATGCCGGCCTGGAGCAGCGCAGCGAGTGTGACATCGTAGTGCTGCGTCCGCTGGAAAAACCTCGAGGTTTCCCCTGCAGGGGGCGATACGGAAATCTCAGTGCAATTTAAGTGCTACGTTACTGTGAAGCAGTCATTTGTAAGGGCAAGCAGCCCAAGGACCCCCTGCTCTGAGATCTCACAAAAACCAAGAAAAGGGAAAGCTTCTAAAAGAATGGGGGAGCTGTGGGATGGGACCGACTGGGTTATGTGAGAGGGAGAGGGAGGAAATAACAGCAAAAATGTAAATTGTAGGGAGAGATTCTTAGGAGAGGAGGAACGCATCCATGGTAAGGAGTGGGCAAGAGAACAGCACGGAGGGCTGAAGAGGTTTCACAAAGGAGAATCATGGAGGGCTGAATAGGCTACAAAGGAGAATCATAGGATCGTGTAAAGAAAGCACTTGGTTGTGTCCAGTAATAAATGAGCAGCGCTCCAGAAGAAGTGTAATGAGAAGAGATGGACAAAGTTGATGAAAATGCATCACTAATGAGTAGTTAAGTATCTCTGTGGATCTAGGTCAGCCCGTGACCTAATGAACGTACCACTCCTACAGAGGCTACAGGAGAGCTTTCAGTCCAATTTCAGTTCCACAGTTACACACACGGCCAGCAGGGCCAGGACCTGCGTGGAGCAGAGATCAGCGCCTCCCCCACCGCTGCCCCCAAACACCCACCTGGTTTGGTCCTGTCCTTCTCCACGATCACACACACTCTCTCAAACATGCTCCGCAGGCGCTGGATGCGCTGGGTGACCTTACTCCTGTTCACAGAGCTCAGCAGCTCCGACTGCAATTTCCTTTCCACTGCCATGCGGTTGCTGACAATGTAATCGCTGCTGCCCAGCGAGCAGACCTGCACCTTCACCCCATGGACGGCCTTCAGCGAGGAGATGACGTCTGTGCCAGAGGAGATCTCACGGCTGTCCACCAGAACACACAGCGCTGTGCCTCTGTCGGGCAGAGCTGCAGAGACCTTCATGGGGCCCGAAGCATTCCCAGCAGTGTGCTGCACTGAGCTTCCCAGCTGTAAGTGCTGCAAACCAACAGTGCGTCTGAGACATGACGGGAGTTAAGCGCAAAGAATGAAGGCCAGCTGAAAGTGCAGTTCCCAAAACTGATACTTAACGTGGCCTGTATTCCACAGAGTTTGGAAAAGTCCCATTCGTAAAAGCTTTTTAAAAGGTCTTACTGACATTGCAACTCAGGAACAATTTCAGATCAATACTTCAATCCCCTGCAAAAAATCTCCTGTATTACTTGAGCATCCAATTACTGAGCAGCGTGTGTGACAAAGTGTGCAGTGTTCACTGCCACTGATAAGTTCAACACAAGCTGAATGATGTAAGAGACAGAGGTGTAGCAGAAAAGCTTAAGGGTAGGGAATACAGCTCAGGATGTTTTCATTGAGGAATTCTAGAATGGCCTGGGTTGCAAAGGAGCACAGTGCTCATCCAGCTCCAAGCCCTGCTGTGTGCAGGTCGCCAACCAGCAGCCCAGGCTGCCCAGAGCCACATCCAACCTGGCCTTGAATGCCTGCAGGGATGGGGCATCCACAGCCTCCTTGGGCAACCTGTGCCAGTGCCTCACCACCCTCTGGCTCAAAAACTTCCTCCTCATATCCAACCCAAACCTCCCGTCTCACTTTAAAACCATTCCCCTTGTCCTATCACCACCCACCCTCACAAACAGCTTTTCCCCCTCCTGTGAAAAAGTGAACAACTATTTTAAAACTGCAATACCAAATTGTTAATTGTGTCTCTCTTCTACTGGAAATAGATCTATATTCCCTCACAGTTGTCAGACTCAAGAGCAACTGATTCCACACTTTCTTAGTACTCTATTGGGTGCTCAGACACCCTGCATGCAGAAAAGCTTCCTGTGGCAGCAGCAGGGCTGGGATCACAGAGCAGAGCCGGCAGCACACCTCTTCTCCTCCCTCACCAGAAGCACTCAGCCCCATGCTGTGCTGCCAGCCCTGACAGAACAGCCTCCAGAACAGGCTGCTCCTGCTGCACGCCGCGAGGCAGAGAGAGGTCGCTGCCAGCCGCCGCACCCACCTCAGCAGGAGCCGGGAGAGCCTCCTTCCCTGAGGCAGAGCGAGGCCCTGGGTGGAAGTCCAGCATTTCAGACACGGACGCCTTGCAGCCCAGCAGCCCCCCACTCTCTGCAGACTGACGAGCGCTGATGTCCCCAGCTGTTTTTTTATGTGGTACAGAAGAGACCGAAGGTGATGTTGTGAGTAAGGCAGCGTTCTCCTGTTCTGCCCTGGAGCGGGGTGACGCCGTGCCCTTCTCATTGCTGACACTTGTTTCCTCCCCACTAGAATCACTCAGGACAATAATTCGGGATGGCTTCTTCTGCCCTGGCGCTGCGCAGTTCTGTTCCTCCTTGGCCCTGTGGAGTTTTTTTCTCCGCCGAGTGAGGTACTGCTGTCTTCCACCACCAAAGCTCTCATTATTCAAGAGATCAAAGTTCACACACATCTCCTCCTCCTCGCTCGATTCACTTTTTTTGCACGTCTCCTCATCCCCCTCTGCAACACAGAAGCTGTCTTCTGCGTAGGTCTCGTCTTGCTCAGGGATCTGTGGGGGGAGAAGAACAAACCTGGTGAGAGGGAAGGAATGCAATAACTTATGGATCCAAGTTGAAGGAGGGAAGATTTAGGTTGGATGTTAGGGGGAAGTTCTTTACAAGGAGAGTGGTTAGGCCCTGGAACGGGCTGCCCAGGGAGGTTGTGGATGCCCCGTCCTTGGATGTGTTCAAGGCCAGGTTGGACGGGGTCCTGGGCAACCTGATCTGAATGTGTGTGTTTGGTGGCCCTGCTAGGCAGGGGGGTTGGAACTACATGATCCTTGAGGTCCCTTCCAACCCGGGTGATTCTGTGATTCTGTGATCTGTGATTCTGTGACTTTGCTCTTCCTCTTGGCCCACCTTTGCTTATCAACCCGGCCCACACACACACAGAGCCCCTGAGCTTCTCACACATCCACGTAAGATTTCATTGGCTCAGGTTGGATATTAGGAACTATTTATTCTCTGGAAGAGCAGTGCTGCATTGGCACAGCTGCCCTGGTTGTGGTGGGTCACCATCCTGTGGGTGCTCCAGAAGATGGAGGTGTGGGATGTGGCCATGGTGGGGTGGGGTTGAACCCACCTGGTGATCTTGGAGGCCTTTCCAGCCTTAACGATTCTGTGACTTGTCAGCAGAAAGCTTTCAGGGAACATCAACTAGCTAATAATGCCACTGAAGAGGTCTGTGCTTCAGGCAGGAATATTGTACTGCACAGGGCTGCAGGTCAATGCCACAGAAGCACACTCAGGACATGCTGGGTTTGCAGGAAAACCAGGCAGACTCTAAACACAGCACTACCATACAACATCAGCTCTGCACAGACACACACACCTTGCTGGCAGAAACACTTCATGGTGCCTTTATGATTTTGAAAAGGAAATGGAAGTTCAGGCTTTGCATCTTCAGTAGCACCCTGCCTCTGTGTGAACAACAAAGCTGACACTGTAAGCCCACGCTGGCTGGAAATTGAATTGCATGATTTGTTCTTATCTGCTTGCAAATCATCAGTGAGCACAAGCTGAGTTTTTGTTCATCACCACCAGCACCACCAAAGTTGTTTGTTCTCTTCATCAATACAGACCTCAGTTTTGTTTTGCCAAGGATGAGATACAGACAGGAGTATGGGAAAAAGAAATAAACCTCGGGGTAGGGGTGCTAAGAAACCATCCCAAGCAGCCATTGTTCCAGTTCTGTGATATATTTGGTCTCTATGAAGTAGAGGGGAAATTAAAGACTAAATAACTAAAAAGCGATTTGCCATGTGATGTACCAAGAGAGTAGAACAGAACAGAACTGAAAAGACAGTGCACATAGGACACATCTCCAAATTAGTGCATACATGTGACTGCGTGCAGCAGGGCAGCAGCCCACCTGGGGATCAGCTCCAGGGCTGCTCCTGCTCAGGACACAACGTGTTCTTGCAGGGCCACATGAGGGCTCAGGCTGCTGGAGGGCTGAGCAGCAGCAACGAGATGGCAGTGAGAGAGAAAGCATGCTGCTTCATTTTCTCATTCTTTATCACCTGTATCTGGGGAGCTAACCTTGCCTTTTGCTAGATGCATTGGCACCTGTTGGCACTGCTGGCTTGCCTGGATAGTGCAGGGCATACAGCTGGGTAACAGCTGCAGCTCAAAGTGCCACACTTCTGCTTTGGGGCTCCTTCTTCTTCCTGGAATTCAGTATAGGACAGGAAACATCGTGTGCTGAGTGAGAGTGGGCTTCCTGGGAGGTGCCAGAGGAGGACAGAGGGAGCAGAGAGGGAAGGTAAGCTGGTGGGCCTGGGGGAATCTCACGAGCCCTACGTGGCTCAGCAGTGATGACCACGACTCCTGCACTGGGATGGACGCAGAGCACCAGGCTGCTTTTGCTCCACACTGCTGACAGCCTCACTGCAGCCAAAGGAACGTGTGTGCTTCTATCACAGAGCTTCTGCATGCTTTCAACTTGAAAATCAAAATGATGCCAAAAATCTTTTCTTAGAACTTACTTTTTAGCAGCAATAGGCTGCAAACAACTCCTGAAGGTAGGACTGGGACTGAAATGCCATCACATGTAACCCAGCCTCACACAGACAGCAACTGTTTGGTTCCATACCTGTGAGAAAATGTCAGTGCTGCTGAATTCCCGATGCACCATTTTGTATCTGCTCCCCAGAGCTGGGCTGCGCACGGACTTCAGGTAAACACCTCTCATCTCAGAGTCTGAATTAAACAAAGACATTGCAGGACTATTAAGGATACATTTTTTCTTTCATTCTTAGGATACCTTCTTTTCCATGAGCCATTCCTTACAGCCTCCTACATCTGAAGTTCTCCACACACCCCCATAGATCCCCCCAGGGCTCAGCAGCAGTGTGTGCAGCCTGCACTTCAAGAGGGCTGCCCTTGAGTTAGAGAGATGTGCCCCAGCCTACAGCAGGGGGGTGGAACTACATGATCTTAAAGGTCCCTTCCGACCCAAACCATTCTTTGATCCAAGGATTCCAGAGATTTCAGTGGAGGAGGAAAATCCTGAACAACATCTGGGAATCTCTTAAATGGCAACAGGACGATTCCAGCATGCAAATATCCTAGGGAGAGACGAGGTTTAGAACCACAGGGTGAAGTGAATCTTGGCCAAAAACCAGCATCATCTCAGCTCTGTCTCTGCCAACATCACTGTTTATGTTTAACAGCGGTACTGCTATTCCACATCATATTATAGAGAAGACCTGCAACTTCAGAACTTTGTAAGTGAAATGGGAAATTCTGCTTCCATTTGCTCATAATGTCGTATGAGGGGTTGGCTGACTCGCAGTCAGAGAACTCCAGCCTCAAAATACCCATTTTCCACTCTGCACAAAGCAATTGCACAGCAGAGATTCCTGTGAAGACTTACTCCATAGGAAACCCATGAGAACATGAACAGTAAAGGTACAGAGATGGAGAGCACCTCATCTAGCACAGCTGAGGAAGTCACTGCTTACAGCTGAGGCTTGCGCTGCTTACACAGCAAGTAGCTGAGGGCTGCAGCTCTCACACAGCACTGTCACACCTCCCTTCACCAACCACACACCACACACCACTCACCATTTAACGCCTGTGTCACCTCTGCGTCGTCATTCAGGAATTGAGCCAGTGAGGAGCTCAGCTCCTTGTCTGTGTCCTCAGTCTCATCAGAAGAAACACAGCTCTCATCCTGCTGGGACAACTCAGCTTCTTCATCTAAAAACTGTCTTCCTGCATCCTGAAAAAGAAAAAAAGCCCCAATCAAATTTTCAGCCAGACCGATTCATTACTGCTACAATTAACTGATGTTACAGGAGGCTTCCCATTAAATGCTTCCACGGACTCAGAACATCAGCCAAAAGGAGAATCCGTCCCAAGGGAAGGTGATGGGAAGAACACAGCACTCAGGGAAATAACAGAGCACAGAGAGTGCTGAAGGGTGAAGCTGGACTGCAAAGTGCTGGCCAACCACACACAGTGTGCACTGCTGTTTGCACCAGGTTAATGCTGCAAGGAGGGGGAACGGCTGTTTGTCAGGGTGGATGGGGACAGGACAAGGGGAATGGTTTTAAAGTGAGACAGGGGAGGTTTGGGTTGGATATGAGGAGGAAGTTTTTCAGCCAGAGGGTGGTGAGGCACTGGCACAGGTTGCCCAAGGAGGCTGTGGATGCCCCATCCCTGCAGGCATTCAAGGCCAGGCTGGATGTGGCTCTGGGCAGCCTGGGCTGCTGGTTGGCGACCTGCACACAGCAGGGGTTGGAGCTGGATGAGCACTGTGCTCCTGTGCAACCCAGGCCATTCTATGGCTCTATGATCTCTGACTTTCAGCATTTCCTGAGCCTTTTGAAAGACCTGCTTGCACCAACTAGAAGCCTGAATGACAGGCATCATTAGCAGCCCCTTTCCTAGCAGTATTTTGATTATTACGAACTGCACTGGAGGTCAGCACTTAAGAGAAGAACTCCCAGTGCTACTGGTGATCAGTCTCCATCAGTCTTACTTCTGAAAGACCTGAGAGGATGAACTGCAGCATGGAAAGCACTGTGCCACCAGAAAATAACAGCGTGGCCACAGTCAGGAAACAAGAAGTCAGCGAGTTTTCAGAGGATGTGGAATTGCCATGTCCATCATTAGGAACAATTAGATAAGCTGATAGGTGAAAGAAGAGTGGAATTTCATGAGTATGTAAGTAACACCCACTCTTTTTATGAGCCTGCTGATCTCACCAAAACTGAATCACAGAACGGCCCGGGTTGGAGGGGACCTCGAGGATCACGAAGCTCCAACCCCCCTGTGCCATGCAGGGCCACCAACCTCCACATTTCACAGCAGCCCAGGCTGCCCAGGGCCCCATCCAACTGAAAAATGGATTTCTGGTCTCCACAATTATTTTCATGTCAAAATATAAAGAACTGATACCACAGGAAGGTCTCCATAAAGAGGGCTATCTTTAGAACAAAGTGGCACCAGGGGAGGTTCAGAGAAGGTATTACAAGAAGAAGGTTGGGGGGTTGGACTCGATGATCTCTGCAGGTCCCTTCCAACCCCTACAATTCTGTGATTCTGTGTGACACAAAGCATTGCTTCATGGTGAGCTGTGCAGACACTGGCACAGCCTGCTGGGAAGCTGGTGCCGCACTGCCAGGCAGTGTTGGAGGGCATCAGCACAGGGCCCTCCTGATGTGCTGTCACTTGAGGTCAGCCCCGCAGAGTAGCACTGGACATGGTAAGAGCCTTCCTGCCCAACTGCTCTCATTCTCAGGCCATGACACATGTAGACACACAAGCTCTAAAATGAATGACTCTCAAACCAGTGCTTGAGCTTTCTGCCTTTTTTGTGGCTTTTTAAAACCGGATGCAGACAAGTTAGATTTTTTTTTTCTTGTTCTCACAATTTGAACACAAAGTTAAACCTCACAACTTCTCTTTTAGTTTGTTTGCTAACACGTGCTGCTCAGGTTCACAGAGACATTTCTCTGAACTAGATCTTCTGTTGCAACCACGTACGCTTACATTTGTACATACAAGCAGGACAATGCAAAGCAGCTAAACGCACTGCAACCTGAATGCCAGCTGCTCCAGATGCGTGCTTCAGCCCACTCAGAGGGCCAAGGAATGCCTTACCTTATGTGGAACATTGCTCCTGACCTTCTGGCGTTTCACACCTCTCAGCTGTGCCTTGGTGCCCACTGCTGAGCAGCCCTCGCTGCTCCTGTTTGGGTTCTTGTGAAAATCCACGCTGTCATCACTGGACAAGTCAGACTGGAGGAGAGTTTCACAAACACTTCAGTAAATAAGAATAAAGCAAGCCACCCTTCAGTCACAGTCATTCTTCAACATCTGGCATTTCCTAAGCAACACCAGATTAGTGTAATTGATTACACATGTCAAAATGATGCTAATCGTTCTAGGAAATGCAAAAACTGGGCCTTTCAGAATAGAACAGAAAAACACATCATTTAGGGTGAAAAATCAGATTAAATGTGGTGTGAACATTGTTTTGGTTCCAAGTTTCGCAGAAGGGTTATTGACTGCCTTTCACAAAGCTCAGTTCCCACACCTGCACCAAACAGCTGCAAAATCATCGTAGGAGACCCTGCAGGAGAACTGAAGGAAGGAAGCCCTGCAGGCTGAGGGAGTTCAGCATGGAGAAGAGAAGGCAGCAGGGTGACCTCATTACAGCCTGCAGTACCTAAAGGGAGCCTGCAGACAGGAGGGGAGTCAGCTCTTGGCAAGGGGAGATGACAGCAGGACAAAGGGAAATGGTTTGGAGTTGAGGGAGGGCAGATGGAGGTTGGATGTCAGGGGGAAGTTGTGTGCTGTGAGAGTGGTGAGGTGCTGGAACAGCTGCCCAGAGAGGCTGTGATGCCCCGTCCATCCCTGGAGGTGTTCAAGGCCAGGTTGGATGGGGCCCTGGGCAGCCTGGGCTGCTGTGAAATGTGGAGGTTGGTGGCCCTGCATGGCACAGGGGGGTTGGAGCTTCGTGATCCTTGAGGTCCCTTCCGACCTGGGCCGTTCTGTGTTCTGTGAAGGAACAAATGGCATCCTGGTGTGCCTTGGGGCAGAGGGCAGAAGCTCTGTTCAGTGACACCTTCCTACTGAGTGCAAATGGAGTGAACGCTTACAAGCACACTCCATAAACAGGTTTACACTGTTTCCCCTCCTTAGCACACAGCCCCCACTCACCACGCTCAGCAGATGTTGGCGCTTCCTGACGGCACGAACTGGAGATTCAAAATCACTGTCATTCACAACCTGTGCACAGAAAGAAGAATAATTGCAGGGAGACGTTTGTTCTGACGTTTGACGCGCTCGGCATTTTGCTCCTCTTGTCTTTTCCCTTTTAAGACTCACATCAGGAGACTTCAAAACATTCTTTCTCCTATTTTTCCTCTGGAAAACAATCTCCTCTTCGCTTTCACTGCTGGTTCCTACAGAAAAAAACAGTAAGCAACAATGGTAAGGAAATGTATTGTCCAGAGTGCAGTATTGCTACAACTGAACAACCAAACTCCATCTCTTATAAAAGTACCTCCAAAGGAGATTGCTTATTGATCTGTGCTGCAGACACTGCTCTCTTTAGCCCTTTTAATCAAAATAAATACTCTCCAGTTGAGATGTACAATAAATCCCACTTTCCTGGAGATTCTCCGAGAGGAAATGATTTCCCCAGGCAATACAGATACAGAGAAAGGGAGGAGAAAAATGGAGCAGGAGCTGGGATGTGCAGAGAAGCCCTTAGAAGGTGAGTTCAAGTGTTACACCTCAGGAGACTTTCTGTCATCTGTACAACTTCGGATGCACTGAAACAAAACCACAACTCACCAAGCAGTCCCCTCTCTACTTGTATTTCACAGAACTGCAGCCTTTCTGCTTACCCCCAAAGGATTGCTTTTGCTGAAATAGAGAGAACAGGATCTCCAAGCAGCGTACGAGTGGAGAAGAATGATGGCCACTTATGAGGTGCATTTAGTGGATGGAAATTATCAAAAGCACTTAAAAAATAAATAAATATGTTGCTCCCAAATCAGAGAAGTGCAGAAAATAAAGTCAGAATCGATCCTACAAAGAGCTGATGTTTCAAACACAAGCCAGGCCAGTGCAGAGGGCATCAGCAGAAGATTTAGACACGTCAGTTGTCATGTAACTACAAGAAAGAAACTCATCAGTAGAGCTTCTGCTCCTCAGGAACAACGATAGAAAAATGTGCAAACATGCACACAGGGAGTGAAGCACAACAGATCTGATGGTTATAAATAAGCTACTGAGAGGACTGAGAAATGGCTTTAAAGGCAGGTGTAGCTCACATGGCTGCACTGTTAGTATTTGTGGAGAGTTACCAGCACTTTAATTCTGACTGCTTTCTCCAATATGTACGCATGCACTTCAGCCTCAGCTGGGTAAGTTAGAATGCAGGACATTCTACTGTAACATTCTGTAACATTCATACTGTAACATTCATATGTTACAGGAGGCTGAAGGTCTGAAAAGCCTCCTGATGGAGCCAGATTGAGAAACACAACCATTATTCCCCTCTTCTTCCATCTTAACCACCTAAGTCACAACAGCCAGCTGAAGATCATAGAATGATAAAGGCAGGAAAAGAGCTCCAAGATCCCGAAGGCCAACCCTACCTCCACCACACCCAGTGACCACATCCCTCAATGCCACATCTCCAAGGTTTTTGGAGTCTGAAAGATATTGGATTCAGCAGTATTTGCTTAAACATGAAGCTAACTGTACTCTGAATTCCCTACCTTCAGCAGGAAACACACGTGAAGCATGAAGGTTGGTGCCTTCCAGGTTTTCAGTTCTTCCTCCAGTGGAATCAAGTACATCCAAGGCTGAGCTCCCGAAGCTCTTTCTCTGTGAGTCTGCATTGACTTTATCCGTAGGATGAACCTCTGGAATTTCCTCCCTGACAGCAGAGAACACGTTCTTACGAATCCTTTTGGCAGCTCCAGCACTGCTAACCTTCCTGCCCGTTGGGGTAGAAGGTGAAGGAGGTGAGGCTCCCTGTGAGCCACGTCCCGTCCTGCCCCCTGGCATCCCCCTCACGTTTCTGCCCTGCAAGGCCAGTGGTGTGGAAATGTTTCTTCCCTCTAGATCTTTGCAATCCCATTTTGGGGATGTTTGAATCCTGCAGCCGTCGTTCAGAGATGTTTTATTGGCGGCGAGTTGCACATGCGCACGGCTCCCCGAGGCACCGTTTAATTTGGGGGTATTAATGGCATCCGTGTCTTCTTCAAAGATTTCCTTCTCACACTCTTCAATGGAAAACCCCAGATCGAAGTTAACAGAAAACAGTTCCTGGGAACAGTCCCAGAGGTCACTGGTGTGCAGGGCCTCCTCAGCAGCACTGCCGTGGCCCCGCGCTCCCCTGGGTGCCGCTTCCCCCCGCGCTGCCCCTTCACTGCAGGCCGTGTCCCCATGTGGGCAGCCCGGCCCTGAGGGAGGCAGCTGGGAGTCTGGCCCTGCAGTTGGCCAAGCAGGGTGCCTGCCTGAACCCGACCTGAGCGAAGGTTCCGCGTCCACAGGCGTCGTTTCATCATTTGCTCCGTAGATGTGCTCATCTTCAAACAAATGTATGCTCTGCTCTTCACCAATAGTCACTTTTCTCTTGTTTGTTTCTAGAGCTCCATCTCTCTGAACAGAGTGTTTATTTGAAGGGTTATTTGTGTGATTTGCTGTGAGTTCCTCCTTGCCCAGCAGACTGTGGAAGCTGCCATCCCACGGAGGTGCAGCAGCTGGTGGTGAATTTGAGGTAGGTTTTGAAATGCAGGCATTTACAGAAGTACTCAGGTCAACAGTGACCTCCAGCTCTGGACTTTCAGCAGGCAGCAGTGAGTGACTGACTTCTAAGGAAAAGTCTTTGTCCAGCAGTTGCCCTGAATAACTCCTGCAAGACACCTTTGGAAGAGGGCACGGTGTTTCCTCCTGTCTCAGCAGCTTTTCAACATCTTCAAGTTTACTGACAGGAGGAGGAGAATGTGCTAACAGCCTCCTCACACTGGAAAATGTTTCTTCTGGCCTAGAAAGCTCTTCAGAGGAGCTCACAAGAACAAATGAATCCACGTGTGATTCTGGGAGATAAAATAAGTCAGAGGACACAGATTTCTCAGCTGTGAAGTTGCTGCAACCCAAATCTGTGTGGTTCAGCCCCACTGACCTGCAGTGCTTATCTAGCAACCTGAGATCCTTCACTGCTGCACTTACATGAGTTACAGTACTCTCACCATCACCACATAAGTCATTAAATTCATTTAAGTCAAATGTCACCTTCTCTATTTCCTCCTCCCTTTGACTGCCCTGCTCAGCACTCTCAACCAGAGTGAGCCTTTTTGCTGAGCAAGGCTCTGAAGCATTGGCATCTGTAGGCAACTCAGGCTCTTCCAAGTCCAGTCCAGGAGTTCTTCTGGAAGTCTTAGTGTTTGTTTTAAATACAGAAAAGAATTCTCTCTCATTATCACTTACATCAGGTACAAGCATTCTTTTTGTGTGCGCCATGTCTCTTTTAGAAGAGCGAGTCTTCTGAGCAGACGTGGAACTGCTTGAGGAAAGATGACTTTTATTCCTGTGAATGTCTTCAATACGAAGGTGAGGCTGAAGCTCCAGTTCATAGCTGCAGTCCCCCTGGTGGAAAACACGGCGTCATATTTACTACAAATGCAAAAAGGCCTGCAGGGATTTGTCACGAGAATATTTACAACAAGTGACAAAAATAACACAGGGGTTATCAGAAAGGTTAAAAAACAACAGAGGAAATGCTTTGCATTTAAGGTCACAGCTCTCAAAGAAAATGCCTCGCTGCAAAGCCACGCTTGAGTAATCAAACCTGGGTGTTTCAGAAAGACAGAAAATGCTGTGCATGAATAAGGACAGCACTAAACAGAGCTGCAGTGCACAACATTCCCTGCTGCGCAGGAGCAGCTCTCAGAACATAACAGCTTCACTTCAGCAACTGAAGGCGCCAGGTTTTACCTCCTCAGCATAAATTCACTAAATTAACTAGTTAACAATCAACTAACAGCGAATTCAGAAAGGTGGAGGGAGCATAAGAAAGCCTTATTTGAGGAACACCAGAGCCTGTGGTTCTCTGTTCTCGTGGTACTACTGTTCTTAATTTGGCTACTGCATCCATGGCACGTGAAGAATGTCTCACTTCTATACTCTGCACTTTGCTTTTCACAAATGCACTGAGCTAGGCAACCAACTAACTCTTAGAAACACAGCTGAAGAAAGCCCAGCAGCTTTGGTGTAGCTCCCAGAACTCCCAGGAGGACAGCCTGGATTGGAAAGCTGCTTCTTACTGTGCTTCTCCCTCTCTCTTTTAAATTCAGATTGCAAAGTAAAGGCACTCAATCTCTAACAAAAAGCAGAAAGGCCAAAGGAGGCTCTGTAGCAGTGGTTTCAAACACTCTTCCAAAGTATCAAAAAGAAGTTTTAAACTTGCTTCACTAACAATTACTTCTTAATGGAGCAGTAATATCTAAAGACAAGGCATTTTCTAGCAGCTCAGTCACAAGGATCCCTAGGCTCCTTGATCCTTGCAATAAAACAAAGTACCTTTTGCTGGATGAGAAAATGACTTCTGACCTTACATACTTCCTGCACAATTAACAGTCTCCAGAAGTCTTACCAGACAAAAGTAGGAAAAAAATAAGGTTCTTGCAACCTTAAATTCCTGAACCTTCCTCGCTGTCCCAAGAGAACATTATTAGAGAAGTTCTGTTTCAGCTTGTGCTGGCCACCACTCAAACTCCAACATCCTCCCTTTGCATCCATTACCCTTCTACCCTTCACTAACTCTTCACAGGCCAGACCCTTCACTTCCACCACAGGTACCCAAGCAGTGCACAGGCTCTTCTTGCATGGACACAACCCCTGGGCTTCACTCACAGAGAACATGACTCTCATTTCATGGTCTCTGCATAATGGAGCTGAGCTTCCCCTGGCACTACTTGAGGCCACCAGCTCTCATCCCTCAGTTGCTCCCCATAAGCTGTGTGCTCCAGACCCCTCTGTTGCACTTCTCTGGACACACTTTAGAAGACTTCTGGATAACAGAGGAATCAGTTTATCCTCCAGCAACTTTTGTGCCTACTAAAAAAGCTTCTCCTGATGCTCTGGAGGAAGAAATTGTGTCAAAAACGTTTGGGGGAAGTTCAAGTTCATTATACACAGCCAGAGACCCTTAAAATTACCCACAGCCGATAAGTCTGATGACATAAAAACCACTCTGCAGCAGCTGTGCTCCTCTTGCTGACAACAAGTGGTTACCAATGAATCTAGCAGTTCTAACACTGCCATGGTTTCAGGCAGCTTCTTTGGAACCAATCCACCACCAACTCCCCCTCTTGCTGTCCCCACAAACACGTCCTCACACCCAAGCCACTGCCGTGTCCCACAGCTCCAGCCCCTGCTGATCAGAGTGGCTGGGAATTCCTGACAGGACACCATCTGCTCCTCTTCAGTGGCAGCTGGCTGCTGTTCATTTATCTGCTTATGCTAATTTTACTGACACATCGGTTTGAGAGAGCAGCAGGCTGTGCAGCAAACACACAATAAGAGCATTAAAAACATCCTTCACAAGATTTATTAGCAAAATCAGGCTTCTGCACCCTACCAGCCATGGATAGGTGGATATTCCAGAACAACAGAAGTGTCAGCAGCACAGACTGCCCTGTTATCTGACATCACAGATAGGTTATTACAGCTGACATTTGCCCTTTGACTTTCTCAGCCTGGGATGTCCCTGTGCTGGGAAGGGTAGGAGCACACAGGGAGCCATGGCTCAGAGGCATGCTGGTGGCAGGTTAATGCTTGGGCACGGTGATCACAGTGCTGTTCTCCAACCTTAACCAATCCGTGATTCTATGATTCCACGACGGCTTGAACAGCATTATTTAATTCCTATGGAAATACAGAGAGCAAACTCCTTCCTGCATTTCCATACCCCTCAAAATATAAATAGCATCTTCAGTGACATTTGGTGTGTAAGAGCTCCTGCAAGAGGCACCACAGGACTGCCACTTACCCTTGGAACTTAGTAGAGAAGTGCTTTGCCACATCAGCCTTCTGTAACAGCTCAAGGAACGACCAACCAATTATTTACCTACATATTTTTAGCTGGTGAAACACAGCATGCAACTACTTCTTAAATGCATAGATCTAAATGCAAAATTTCAGTGCACAGTGTTCCCTCCCAGAATCCAATCAAATAATACAACAGAACAAAAGAGCACAAGTGAGCAGCAGCCAGAACCTACAGACCGAGATCTCCAGCACTACACTGACAGAAGGGAGGGACAGCAGGAGTGCAAACGTTAACAGTAAAAACTGGGAAACAGCAGGCAAAGGCATACAGTGGTGTTATGGATTTCATGACACAGAATGCACACAAAGCTGCTCTTGCCTGCAGATTTAAGGCTGGCAATCCTATATCATGTCTTTTATGTTCTTATGGTTTCACTATGATAGGATATTACTCTATGATTTCCAGAAAACTGAGAACATTTAATCTAGGTGGAAGAAAGTGCTTCTGGCCAATATGTCTGAATCTGGCCAAGGAAACTTTCATGCAGCACTGTACAGGAACAAGGAGTCACCACTGAGCACAGCAGGAGCATCACCTCCATCCTTCCAGGTGCCACACAAGTGCCCGATCCATTGCCCCTTTCACATGGCTGATACCCCCAAATCTTTTGCCTAATCACTTTCCTGTTCTTGCTGTGAGCATAAAACCCCATAGGAGCATTGAACACAAAGCACCTGCAATTAAAGGTTGGAACCATCTAAACAAGGTCTTAATTATAGTTTGAACTCAAAATCATCTGGCAGTAAGATCAGAAGAATCGATATGGCACAAGTAAACTATTTTAATTGGAGAGCTGAGATTTTTGGTCTTGCAGGTTCTGCTTGGCAGCCTCACTGCCTGAGGACAAAGCAAACCTCCTTCCCCATCACACTGTGAAGCTCTGCTTTTCTTGGTTTGGTTTTTTCTTTCTTGCAGTGAAGAATGAGCAGGGATGCTTCTGCACAGCGTCTTGTTGGGAACCCCAAGAGAAAGTATTTGCTTTATCTGGTGACTGCAGTCTAAGCCCGATTTGGAGCCCAGGCTATTACAGCTGCCCACAGTTAAAACCAGCAGTTCCACAAATCGCTCAGTGTATCTGCCATGAACACGGTGAACAAATACCATTCACTGCCTTAAATTCATTCTTTGTGCTGGGAAGGAAGTTTGGCACATCTTAGAGCAGTGTTTCAACCAGAAACACACTACTGCCAACGAGGGCCTAAAATGCTGTCTACTTCACGGCCCTTATTTGAACCATTTCTAACCTTGATCCAGTATCTCCTGGGAAAAGGTCATTTGGAAATACCCTCAAAATACATCTGATTTAAAACTCTAGGAGAGCATCTTCACGTTCTTTGGGACTTTAGGCTACCCCTGAAGCACTTTTCCCTTTGTCAGGAACTTCACCCCACGAATCACAGTTGGAAGGGCTCTCACACCCCCCAGCTGAGGCTGCTCAGAGCCCATCCATGGCCTCAGGCACTCCAGGGATGGGGCACCCACAGCTCCATCCATTTCCCACTCCATACACATAGCTGGGATTGTCCAGATGCAACACCCTGCACTTGTTGAACATCCTTATGTTTAGGGGGCCCCCTGGTCCCATATGGACACCACTCATCTCCATCTCTGCACGGACACAGAGCTGCTGACCACAGCTCCCTGCTGCACCACCCAGAGAGGTGCTGTCCTTCAAGGCAACACAGCACAGATGGGAACAGACAGAGGGTTTCAGTGGCAGTTCTGACCTCATCCCCTAAATGCCATCTCTCAAGGTGTTTGGTACCACAGAGTACTGAGGCAGAAAGGAAGAATCCTTCTGATGGGAGACTTTGGTTTTTCTAAGGAGAACCTTTGCTCTGACTGAAAGTTCCAAGTTCAGCCCTGAGCGGGAAATGGATACAGTGGTACTCCTGCATTGGACAACATCAAGACTGTTCAAGAGTCATTAACAACTGCCTGCCTCCCAGAAAACAAAAGAATGCTTTTGCACATCAAATTCCTGTTCTATCCTCAGCAACTCGGGCAAATAACATCTCAGTAAAAGTGATTACTTTGCCCTGACCTTGTTTCCAAAGGTATACAGTTTAATTTTCAAACATGCTGAAAAGCTCTTATTTTGCAGAGGGACAACTCGATTTGTTCCCATGCTGCAGGACAATCCCTGCTTGTCCAGTACAAATCCAGGCCCATCTGCCTTGTTGCTGCAGGCATTAAAGGCTTTAATGGAGGGATGGCAGTGTTGCAGGGCTCTTATTTGGGAAACCTTTCTTGATCTCCTCTCCGAGGTGCTTACTTTTCCACCAAACTATTAAAAGCACGTGACTGCAATGCAACTGTAATTATTTCACTCATTTTCACTTCTTTCATTTGAAAACATGTAGGCCTTTGAATCTTTTTAAAGGTTATGTAAAACGCAACTGCATTGGAGGTTTCTTGGAAACATTAACTTAATGAGTACAAGGAACAGAGAACCATATCAGAGCTGATACAGTCTGAGCTGTGTTGTGTTACAGAGAGAACACCTGCATACCCCTGAGTGGCTCCTATGAAGCTGTGATTGATCTCTGAACGAAATCCTTCCCGTGAAATAATTAGCTTCATTAGAAACTTGCAGATCATTTGGTTATCCAGGGGGAAATAGTCGTTTGCCTGGCTTTATATTTCATTCCTAAGTAAGAACATAATCTATAGAACAGTGGTTTGAAGCTCTCTCTCATGTTATTTAAGGAAATAGCTCTGACTTGTGCTCGGCGTTATCCCTCAGCTACTAAGAACTGCAAGTCAACGTCAGACAGATTAGCAGTGATATATTTGGCTATGGAATATTTATGGTATGAACATGGCTGCATGTAACTGCAGAGCCTGCAAAAGCTCCTGAAGCTCTGCTAAAACATTACTGCTTCCACCCACTCAATGCCATACCAGACCAACGTTTTAGGCAGATTTTCTTACAGGCTTAGCTTCTGCTCAAGGTTAACTCCCCAGAGCCTGCTCTAACATAGAATCATTGAGGTCTTTTCCAACCTTGATGATTCTAAGATCACCCAGACCAAGCACCAACCCATCACACCATGCCCACTGCCCATGGCCCTCAGTGCCACATCCTCTTCAACACCTCCAGGTGACCCCACCACCTCCCTGGGCAGCCTGTGCCACTGCCTCAACAAAATGCCTTAATTTGATTTGAAGCATCAATATTCTGCAAACACACAGTTTTTGGTAGAGAAAAAACACAGGCTTACAGAGAAGAATTTCATATGTTTTTAGAGATGTTCTATTATAGGAACAGCTTGTAGCCTAAGCAGGACCCAGAACCTGGCTGAAAGTCTGTGACTGAGTTACCTGGTCTTGTATGAGCCATAACAACTCCCTCTATATAAGAGGATATCAGAAATAAAAAACCAGCCAAAGTCATTGTAAACTATCTAAAGCCAGATATGTTCTGCTCAGGGCCTCACCCAACCTGACCTTGAACACCTCCAGGAATGGGAATCCACAGCTTTTCCATGCAGCCTCTGCCAGCACCTCTGAGTGATATTCTGTCCCATCATTGCTTTGCCACTGAAGGAAGATGGTCACTCAGGTGCCAGGAGGAGCATCCCTTTATCCAGCCCCACCACTTCATAAAAACGTTTCCTGCCATTCCAAAACACACTCACATCCTAAAGTAAGGTGTGAAAATCACCATCTGCTGCAGAAACAACCTTAACCAAGAATGCTTAGGTCAAAGCTATCTAGCAAACACAGAGCTGGAATTCAGAGTAACCCACCTGTGTGCTTACACTGAGCACATACAGCTGCAGATGCACTGCCCTGGCACAGCATACCACACAGCAGGCACTGAGTGCAGCCCCATCCCTGTGCCTTCAGCAAGCACCATGCATCACAGGGCATGCATGTGAAATGGAACAGGACTCCAAACAAGGAGTGAATCAAATCTAGCAGAAAGGCATGACTTTAAACCTCACAGTTAAGCAGCACAGAGGCAGAAAGGCACATGGGGCTGCAGTTTGCCCAGCATGGCTACTCATAGCTGCACAGAACCAGAGATAGGAACATGCCTAGGATCGATCTATCTATCTATCTATCCATCTATCTATTTATCTATCTATCTATCTATCCATCCATCCACCCATCCACCCATATCTGTATATATACTCACTGTTATAAAGGTGCCTTGATAGGCATGCAAAAATATAAAGCACCACCTACAAATCTAAACTTATTTTATTTTGCTCCATTTACATTTTTAAACGAACATTTTCTTCTACAAACAAGCACTCCCTATCAGAAAATGGTGGTGACAAATCATGCTGTCCTGGGAAGACTGGTACTGTCTTTCAGAGGTGTCAAAGCTGACTTAAGAAAATTAAGAGAAAATTAATAAAGCTTTTGCGCAAGAAACCTCTGCCAGTGAAGACAAAATAATCAAAACATATTGCATTTTTTGTTTTCTGAAGCTGTGATGTCCTTGAACCTTGACAATTTGGTGTAGATACAACAAACCACTAACTTATGTCTGAAAACTGGCTGTCAGTGCTTGTGAAGGGTCACCCTCTGTTCACTACACAGCAGAGACAGCTGAGCCGTGCTGTCACATTCCAGCAAGGGACAGCAGGCAGACACATCTCTACAAAAGAGATTTTGGCACTGCCCTTTGCTTACAGCTTCTCCTTTGGGAGAGTTGTGGGAGAAGACTGAGGATGCACTTGGCAACTAATGACACTGCTCTACACATTATTTTAAAGGTGCCAGAAGTGAGTACAGCATGTTCTGCAACTACGAACCTAAAAGTGTTCTGGCACCAATGCATTTTCACTGAAGGAATTTAGAACACAAGTGCTTCAAAATGCCTGATTTGGTAGTGGGGAGTGAAGTCTCAGACAAATGATTGTAAATCTTTTCACCACTGATTCTCTCATCTCTGAACTTCCTTCAGCTCTCTGTGTACCTGAGCTGCCCCCTGAAGTTCTCTCTCTCTGACAGTGTGTTCTTAACCCAATCTTAGGAGCACAGAGCCTAGAAAGAAATTAAGAATGCCATTGTTCTGTGATGGAGAAGCTTATCTTAGCTCTAAAAATCTATTTACAACTTGCCATTAATTTACTTTCCTAGCAAAGAGTACAACTACAATGTCTCCATTCTCTTCCTTGATTAGACTAGTTATTCAGTAAACTCCAGCAGCTTAGCAACAGATTCTGATGACCTAGAAAACTTCAACACAGTAAAAAGCAATATGAGGAGAACTGGAAGAAAAAAAATAACACGATGAACAACTGAAGACTTCAGGTACTCTCAACTGATCTACAAGCATTGCTGTGTACGTCTGTGCCTTTCATTATATACAGGAATATAAGCTGTACAGAAAAGTTAGCAAATGAAACTGTCATCTCCCAAATGGTTTTCATCATGTTTGCTGAGTACCCTCATCTTCTCCTTTAATTCTTAGGAGTGGTTAGATTTTTAATTAGAGCTTTTACAGAAAACAAAAAGCCTCAAAACACACCTGTCTTAAACGTGGAAATCATTTTTAAGAGATGCCTTTAATGCACATACAGGATTTATTTCAGCTTGAAGCAGAGGAGGCTCAGGGGATCTCCTCAATGCCCATACATACTGCAGGGAAGATGGAACCAGGCTCTTGTCAGTGGTGCCCAGTGCCAGGAAAAGAGGCAATGGGCTCAACGTGGAGCACAATATGTTTCTTCTGAATATCAGGAAGTATTCCAGTGCTGTGCAGGAGCCAGCACACTGGCACAGCAGGTCTCTCTTTGGAGATGTCCAAAAGCCATGCACAGCACTGGGCAACACTGCTGGGGCAGAGAAGGAGCAGAGGGACCTCTAGCTTTAACTGTTCTGTGATTGCGATGTTACAAACCTATCTGCAATTCCCATTACATCCTGGAATAGTGCTAGCATTGCTTGTAGTGACTTTGCACACTGACTACACAGAATGAGAGCTCATTATTTAAGCATTCTAACTGTGCACTGCACACTCACGTGTGTTTTCAAATGCAAACACCTTACCTGTTCTTGTCTCATCACTTCTATCATTTCCATAACGCTGATAAAATGGCGGCAGCGGTCGGAGTGGTCAACCATACTTGTAGGAAAAGGGCGGTTCTGCCAAATACTCCACTCAGACAAGGACAGCTTATGCACTGCCTCCTCTTCAGGCTTCTGCAGTTTAAGATTGGTAAGGAGATTTTAGTCAAGAGATTGTTTAGCAAATCCAGCGCCTACTTCTCTGTCAAGGACAATAACTACTCTGAGCACAGGAAAGAATATTGTCACAAATGCTGAAGTCTGGTGGGAAACAAAAAATCACAGGCTTTATGTTGCCAGAGCTGCTGATGAAGTACAGGTTGCTTTAAGCAGTGAAATGACAAAGTAATTCCTGTTTTCTCCCCTGAATGAAGTGCTTGTACAACTTGAGTTTTCCACCAGTCGCACTGTTATATAAACAAGGGAAGGAAAAACTGTGATACAATGCCATCATGAATACAGCATCCTGCTAGAACGTCTCAGAAGCAGAAGACAACTTACTGCGTACCATGTGGGGCTTTTTCCCCTATTTTTAATGGATTTATTTCAAACATCTAATTCCTAAATCCTTATCTTCAGAAACCTAAGGGAAATTCTCAAAATTGCCTTTTTAAGACAGGCATCCTTCAAACTCATGGGTAACTCTGTTACTCGGTGTTTCCATTAGGCCCAATGCCAAACAAGCATTACATTGAGGTTAAACTCACTGATGTCTCATCCAGGTTTTCTAAGGTTTCAAACCGAGTGTCAGGCAGTATTGGCTGCTTCACTCCATCATCTTCTTTAAGTCTGTACAGTCTGTCCCATATTTCAAATTCCTCAGGTGACAGAGACCAATTCTCACCACAGTGCATTTCCTTTCGATCTGGAAGGGGGGAAAAAAACAAGGGGAAAATATTATGTACTGTAAGAAAAGCGATACATAGAAAGATAAAGAAAAAACTTTGTGTAGTACCAGCCAGAAGAAAATACCTCCTTTTTGCTGCTCCTTTTTGCCACAAGTAAAATCAAACACAGACAATCTGCTGTCAGAAACAAAACATCAAACCAGATGTCTGTATATGTTATAATTATGGTACTATCTATGGATTGTTTTGGGAAAGGCCTCCTATAAGGAAACATTGGCAGACACAAGTAGAGGGACGCTCATTCAAACACCAGCTGGCCTTGAAGACAATACAGCAAACAGGGAAAGCATTTGGCTTGAATTTGTAAATGTAATTCTCAGTGATTTGTAAATGTAATTGCAGGGACAAACTGCAAATAAGCTTGGGAAGTGCTATACCTTGTTTGTTTAAGTTACTCTTGGAATACTGGAAAGCAACATTATTTTGTTATGCCAAAAATATTTCTTAGTCATTTCTTGACTAGATCTGTTTTCTATTTTAAGCCATCTGGGACATGTGGATGAGCAAGAGGACAGAAACAAAAGTGTCATGAAAATTTCCCAGGAAGAAACAAAGGAAGCAGAGGGCTTGTTAGCTGTGTAGATGCTCATAACACCAAGTGGGAAGCATGGGGCATCTGTGAGCATCAATGCTGGATGAAAGCCAGGTAGGTGCTTGTGTTGCAGCTGACTGAAGACAAGGCCCTGGTGCTGCTTGGCTCAGAGAAGGAAACCAAGTTACTGCAGCAGTCTGACAGCAAGCCCCAGTGCAAGCACTCCACACTTTGGCAGCTGTATGCAATAAAAACGCTTGAACCCCAGCAGCCCTCAGTGCAAACAGCAAAGGAACATAGGAAGCACTGCTGTTAAGAGCAGTTAATGTGACTGCTTGAAGCTTGGACAAAAACGCAGTTGATTTGACAACCGCCCTGAGACTGGATTTGGGAAGAAGAGGCAGGCAGCACCCTGTGCTGAGCTAACACTGTGCAAGAGGAATCAGCCTGCACCTCCCAGTCCTCTCACAGCACCACTGCCAAAGAACACATCTCCACGGAAGCACGTGAGACTCAATACCAGGTCCCCTAAAATTCTGAGTACAAGCCTCAATTCCTCTTGAGTCTTTCACAGCTGGAAAAGATCTAACCAACAATGACATTATTAAGACTATGGTTAAAAAACCAACCAAACAAAAAAACCCAGAAGATTATTACTGCTACTAGAATATTTTTGACCCAAGCCTAGGAGATGTTAGACTCATTTGTAACTACCATACAGTTCAGGGACCCAGTTCAGGGAGGAACAGAGACCTGGAGGAAATGAAAATCAAGAAACATCAGAAAAGTCTACCTCATAGCCTTCTGTTATTTATAAGAACAGCTAAGTTTTAGGTTTGCTTGAGCATTAACTATCCACAGCCACACACCAAGACAGTACTTCAGCCTTGAATCAGTGTGGAGCTCTGGACATTGTTGCCTGGGCAAGGAATAAAGGAAAGGCCAGGAAGAGGAGACCCATTTGAAGCCTAACAGCCAGTCCAAAGGGAGTTCCACTGCCCTGCTTCAGACATGTCTTCACATCCAAGAAGTAAGAGAGCTGCCTGCCAAGGAATCAAGGAGGCACTTCCAAACAGTAAATTCCTAGATGGGAAATAGCAGGCATCAGCAAAAACCTTCTCAGGCAAACAGATCTGGTTTGAGATAGCTCTGGCTGCTCTTGAAGATGGTTATCCAAAGAGCGTACCAGAACCTTCTGTAAGAGGTCAGGTGATGAACATGTCATCCAGACACATTAAAGGAAACAATGAGAACAACAGATGACTTCAGTTTTCCTGTTACAGATCCAGAGGACGACTCGTTCTGACAAAGCAAGAGGATCCTGTGATACCATCTGCCCAAGTAATGCACAGGGATCCTACTGTCCAAGGTCACATAGGCAGGAAGGCCTCCAGTAGCTTGCAGCATTCAGTAACAGCTACTTTGCAAAGCTCTGTGCCCACTAACCGAGCTATTACATTTCTGTTCCTGAGCAGAACAAACTTTTTGGGCAATACAACGTACTCTGTGCATGGCAAAACACACAACAGGTCTCTGTGAGAGGGAAGAATGGAAGGGAATCCCCTTGGCTTGCAGAGAGCACAGATTAATGCCTGACTTACAGGCTGCTCAACTCTTCCCTTCTCCAGAAACAACAATTCCATACAGCATGGAGAAATGCCCCAGTCGTCTGATCCAAACACTTGGACACCTCAGGCTGAGGGAGGAAAGCAGGAGCTGAAGTTGGCATTCAAAGCCTTCTTTTCCTATGAAGTGTAGTTGCTGTCAAACAGGGAAGGAACATGAAGCAGACTGAAAGTAGCCAAACACCAAATGAACCCCAAGAACAAGTGAAAAGCAAGGAAGGATAAATGAGGACATATGCAATGTTCATTACAGCTTCCACCTTCAACTTTCCAACGTAGAAGGGAACACTTGGATAAGAAGGAGAAAATGCAAAAAATTAAAGAGCTTGCTCTCCTTTTTGAGATTTGCCTTGAATATCATTTGCACTGGCAGCAGGCACTGCTTCATACAGTAACGAAGGGAACTGGAACACAAAGCTGGTGCTCAGTATGAAGAAAGTATCAGTAATTTACACTCTTGTAGCACTTGTTTGCAAGACAGGCAGTCAATCCCATCTATCTTCAGCCAGGGACAGATCACCACCTACACGATGTATTTCAGCTGTGGCTGCTGCTAACCTACTTTGCACAAAAGGAACCTGGTAATTATTGCAGCCTGCCAAGTGCTATTCCCTCAGCAGGAAACATGTTCAGCCAATTATCTGCTCTATGCACCTTGTGTCTCTTGGTTCTATTTTCTAGGACAGACGTACAGATTTTCTACAGTGATTAATTCCACATTTTGTTCTGCTCTACCTTTTTATGCCACCCTTGCTTTTCCTTACTGGGTGCTGCCTGGGTTGTGTGCAAAGCCCAGATAAGCACACCTTACAAATGGAAAAAAGTGATCAGGAGGAGCATCATGGCTGTGCCTGCAGCAAGGCAGACTCACAGAGAGGTAAGGCTGAGGATGGTATGTGCAGACTGATTTACTGATACTGATCCTTCTCCTTCACATTTCTCCCATGAAGGATGCTGAAATGGGAAACTGTTTCACAGCCAAAGAGGAAACTGATAATTTCTGCACGATCTTGTAGCTTACTTCCCCATATCTTCCCCACATCAAGAAGTTCAGGCTTCTTGATAATAAGAAATTCTGCGTTCAGAAGTGCTTAAAATCCACAAATACACTTTAAGTGTAACTACTTGGATACTGAAAGATAAAGTTTCTCAAGTCTTTCAGAAGCTTTTTCCTTCAGGGCATTTGCTGTTGGTCCTTAAGGTACTGAAAGCACCTAATAAAAGAGATTGTGAATGATTTCCAAGTATTTGTAACAATTAGCTGCTTCATCTATCTTGTAATCTTATTCCAGTGCCATGGCAGTGAACCATCTAAGGAGCCATTTCTCTTTAAAACTCATTTTCTTCCACAAGTTTTTGCAATTATAAATCACAAAAGAAATTACAGAATGGTTGAAGTTGGAAGGGACTTGGGGGGTCCAAGCATCCTGTTCTTGCTTTCTCCCTTTTGTCCCTTAACATTCTCCAGTTTTCAAGCACTTCTGTTTCACTGTAATTTCCAGCAGTCTAAAAGATCTATTTCCTGTATTAATAGAAGCATCAAGCCTAGACCTCACAGCTCCAGCCCAAATCCAGTACAGATTTATCACCAAACACTTGGTGACCAGCATGCCAGCTGACACAGGTGCATCAGAAGCCTTCAGCAGACATTAACATTTGCCTCTTCTTTTTGTAGCTCAAGTTTCTGACCCCAGTCATTGACTCTACGGGAAGCTTTATGGAGAAGGATGAAACAAAGATCTGATACGAAGGACAGACATTTAAAGGCAGGACTGTGATGTGAGGATATTAAAGAAAAAGAAGGCAGCATCGAAGCAGAATAACACAGCTGCAAGGTTACAGCTGTTAGAAGGGCACTTCTGCTCTAGACCCAAACCGATGTGAGCAGGCACTTTTGATATGCTGTAAGATAACAACATGATATAGCAGCTTGCAGAGTGCTTACAGAAAACACCATAATCCTCTTACCAGTGACACAGGAGAAGAGAGCAGATTTATGGTGGAGAGAACTAGGTCTCCCTCTGGAAGGCTTTCTTGAATCGCTTGGTTCGCATTTTTCAGCAGTAATAAACATTCGGTGCAGCTCTGGATTTATGCCTTCTGGAATCATCCGTGGGCTGTGCTGGTAAAAATGAAGCATTTTGTTTCCTGAAATAGCTTTCTGGATGTTTCTTTTGTTGGACTGGCTTTGATTGTAAGTCTGTAAGAGAAAGGAAAAAGTCATACGTTGCTGAAACGCACAGGGCTTGATCCAAAGCAAAAGAACACCTGAGTGTCTGTGAGGTCTCCCACAGAACAGCAGGGGTTGGAAGGGCCTCTGGAGATCACCCAGCTCAACCTCCTGTCAGAGCACGTTGCACACATGGGCATCCAGTCGGGTCTGGAATATCTCCAGAGAATGCTCCACAACCCCTCTGGGCAGCCTGTCCAGCGCTCTGCCACTCTCACAGCAGTTCTCCCTGGTGTGATTACGGAGCTCCCCGTGTTTTGGAACGTACTGTAATGCATTTCTATCACCGGCTTTTTCCCCCCTCAAATGCAGATAAAACAAATCCCGATGGTCAGTTAGGTCAACAAAATGCTGTGTTCAAGTTCTTGACCAGCAAGTTCGGGGCTGGCAGCATGCATCCACACCATGGGAACCACAGCAGAGCAACAGGATTTGAAGAAAACATAAAGCAGTGCAGCTCCACAGACAATCTGATCATGGTTACATCAGAAATAGCTTGCGAGTCCTTTTAATTCCTTTTTCAAAAGCTTCCACAATAACACACATCAGTCAAATTGAATTTGAACTATCATCTCTTTGTACCCATGCAAGACGTGCAAAGCAGAGTAAGAATCTAAGAGGCACCAAAGAACAGTGACTGTTCTCTAAGTTGCAGGCATGCCTTAAAACTCCTGACTACAAATAAGACAAAACACAAACACAACATGCAGCTTTTTACATTCTGTCAGATGGCCAGAAGCAGGCACAACGCTTGCAAGAAATACAGCTCTTGCCTGGAGGAATCTGCCATCTACAATAGATACAGGGATGATGTAAACTGGATTACATCAGAATGAAAGGAGGTCAAGCAAATTAAGGTATAAAGTCATTAGTTAATATCATATGTGCTTCAAGACCTTTTAATTAGACTTCCTTTCATCGCACAACAGAGAAACCAAGACGAGAATGGAGAAAGTAAGGCATGAATCCAGTTCCCACAGCACATCTCTTGCCCTAAAACACTGCTCTGAGCACTGCTGGAGGCAGGGCAGCAGCAACGTTCTTGTGACAGCTCCAGTTGGAAACCAGGAGTCGAAAGGATGGACACAAGGAGATGCTCCCTGAATAAAGCTGGAAGGTGCTATGGTGAGCTTCATCAAGCTGCCCACAGGCATTCTGTTAAATGCTGGGATCCCAGCATAGGTTAAAAAAGTTGTTTTATGGAACAAAATTTGAGCAAGATTTTTGAATAACACAGGAGAACTATGTAGAAATACAACTGCTTAAGGGAAACGTCAAGGAATTTAAGGGATTATATCAATATCCCATTAGAGAGTGGAACCTTCAGTCTTCATGAGCAGAATTAGAAAACATCTCTTTACAAATACCATTCACCTCCATTTTAAACTCCCTTCCCTTCAAATACGCTTCCCCCTTTCTCCCCCCCTCAGACAGGACCCTTTTGACCAATTAAATTCCAGCTACCTACAAATTTAAATCAGAGGCACATTGTTGATAGGAACAGATCAAATATTAGCAAGACTCTGAAACTTGGGCTTTGCAATTAGCTTACACAGATCTCAAACTTCCCCTTCATGAAAGCCAGCCTACCTGAGAACCAGCCAAGCGAGTAAATGAAACCAAACAACAAAGAACAAAATCCATTTTCAGCCAGAACAGTGATAAAGCCTACAAATGCCTGGCATTCAAGATGATGCTGCAAGGTGAAAATGTGAAAGTGCAGCTTCATTTCACACTGCGACCAATCGAACCAAAGAGAGCTGCCCCAGGGATTGCCAGGCTTTCTCCCACCTAAGCACTGCTGTGTCATCTCGGGTCCCAAGCCCGTGGTCGTGCAGCTGTGGGCTGACCCTGGTCAGGCTGCTGGGACAGCTGAAGATCAGTTCCCAGCTCTCAGCTTAGCTCTCCCAGGTACATTTGTTTCCCAAGGGGCAGCCGGCACTCAGAGAAGATTAACTGTACTCAGAGCTGAGTGCTGAGATTCAGGAATTTAGCAAAAGTAGATTTCCACTTAAGCTGATCTCTTCAGACCTCATACGCAAGCTGCTGCCACTAAGCACTGCTCTGAGGGCGCGGTGCGTCAGCAGCTCAGAGCGAGGCACTTCCAGCCCCAGCCCTCAGCACTGCATTCTCATCTTTTCCTCAGTCTGCCCCCTAACCTTGGCAAAAAAAACCCCTGTGCTTTCTGCATCTCAGTTCATCATGGACAAACTAAGCGCTTTTAACAACAAAGGCTTCCAATCACACAATCATGAATGCTGGGGAACAGCTCCGAGATCCCCAAGCCCAACCCCAGCCCACCCACCATCCCACTGCCTACATCCCTCAGTGCCACATCCCCACAGCTCTGGGACACCTCCAGGGATGGTGACCCCACCCCAGCTGTGCCACTGCAGCACCGCTCTCACAGAGAAGAAATTTTTCCTAATATATCCAACCTGAAAGTCAAAGCCCTCAGCACTGAGCAAGCACGCACATTTTCTGACGCCATAGGCCACGATACCTTCCAGCACGGTCAAACAAGACGTTGCTGAGAGCACTCCCACGCAGCCAACTCCTAACATAAGTGCCCCGTTCCCATCCAAGCCCCCCATGTCTCCCAGTGAGGATGCAGCTCACGCTCACCCGCTCCTCGCGCCCCTCGGCGAGGATGACGACGACCCGGCCCTGCCGCTGCCGCCCCGTGCGCCCCATGCGCTGCACCAGCCGGATCGGGCTCTTCTGGGCATCAAAGCAGATGATGAGATCGACTTCTCCAATGTCCAGACCTTCTTCTCCCACGCACGTAGACACCAGGGTGTTATAGCCACCCTCGCGAAAGCGTTTGACCACCTGAAGAAAGGAATGGATTTCACAGGTTAGCCTGGAGGCCCCTCGTGCACGCTTCCTGGTTCAGCCAGATTTTGAAAAAGGAATAAACTTATATTTTACACCTACAAAACTCAGTCAGTCTTCCCGAATGTGTTGATTCCTTCATGGTGATCAAATACCACACACTAATACTATCAGCGCAGCCCTTCAATTCTAAACCAAAAAGAACACCGTATTCTGACTCTAACCAGAGTATTTTTCTAAAATTGATCTTCCAAGCCTTTCAATTATTATTTTTTTAAAACTTTGCTACATCAAAACTTAAAGATACATCTTCTTTTCCTATCTATGAGGAAAAAAAATCCCCAAAGCAAGTATTTATGTTTGATCATAGAATCCTACAATGGCCTGGGTTGCAAAGGAGCACAGTGCTCATCCAGCTCCAACCCCTGCTGTGTGCAGGTCGCCAACCAGCAGCCCAGGCTGCCCAGAGCCACATCCAGCCTGGCCTTGAATGCCTGCAGGGATGGAGCATCCACAGCCTCCTTGGGCAACCTGTGCCAGTGCCTCACCACCCTCTGGCTCAAAAACTTCCTCCTCATATCCAACCCAAACCTCCCCTGTCTCACTTTAAAACCATTCCCCTTGTCCTGTCACTGTACACCTTGTAAACAGCCATTTACATTGTGTTTAGTGAGTGTAGTTTTGGATAATCTGAAAGCAACTGAACCACCTAGGAATCTACCAATGACATCTGACATCTCAGTCATCACCACGCAACCCATATTAATATCTTCATTTATACATTTAATGTTCCTTATAAATGCTTCCAACTTCAAGTTTCAGCTGCTTACCTCCAGCTGCTCCTTTTGGGTGAAGCCCTTTGTGCTCTTTCCTGTGGCGTGCCCAACAAAAGTCATCACTCTAACAACTGGGCTGAACCGGGACAGCATTTCTGCGATTTCTTGCACACTATCCCGAAATGATGAGAAGATCATCACCCTGGTGTCCACAGATGTGCTTCCAGAAGTGGTTTGATCTGTTTAATTAAAGAAAGGCAGAAAAGTACTTCTATAAGTGATACAAAAGCAATGATCTCCCCAAAAACAGAGGACATCCCACAAGTTACACACTCACAGCTCTCATCTGAGTCAACAATTACAAGATACACTTCACCTATATGGCGTTTTGATTTTTCAAATACATTTTATTTCAACAAAATTCTTTTTAAAGTAACTAAAAAAAAAAAAAAACAACAGTTAAATTAATTAAAAAAAAAAATCAACAGTGGAGCAAACAGTTAATGATGAGCCCTTCAGCCTCCTTAGGCTAACCTGAAATTCCCAGAAAACGCTCCCAGATAGACCTGCTCCAACAATTCCTCTCTGGAATCAAAGCAGCATTCAAATTTTGGAGAATTTGCACCAACTCCAATGAGAATGGCTGATGTCTGAGGTAATGTTATTAATGCTGCTTTGAAAGGCTCAAGTTTGGTGGCAAGTATCTTGAAATAACATGAAAGATGCCTTCTTCCAAGGAGCGTACAGCATGACTTCGGGACGTCACTGCAGAGTCCAGAGCAAAACAAAGTCAGCTGGGCATAGCAGTGAACAGCAGCACAGCAGCAGTCCAGCACAGAGCACGGTGCAGTGCAGGGATGTGTAACAGCTTTCTGTGACTTACTGCCCCAAGCCACACCTGCCTCTACAGCACAGGAACCCCATGACAGCAGAAAGGTTCAAAACCTTCCCTTGCTCTCTTACTCTGTTGCTTCTGAATGTTCTTCCATCACAATCACTTGTATCTCCCAGCTCTGTGGCAAAGACAAGCTCTGCTCCAAAGCAAAGGCAGAAAGACCTGCACCTGTATTAGGTTTCTTAGCAAGGTGCCTTTAACCAAAAGCATATCTTAATGCTACACAGAGACAAAATGTGCCTCCTGGACACTTCTCTTTTTAATACTTTATTTTAAATCACATAGGGATACTTTCAGAGCACAAGTCTCAGCAGCGAGACAACAGCATCTTTCCTAGTGGTCAAAAGGTCAAAGCTGTATCCCTTCAAAAACTTCAACTCCATTTCAATGCTCTATTAGAGTTCATCAAATTTCTTATGAATATCCATCAACAGACCAGGTAATCTGCAGTGAAACACAATCTAGAGCACAACCCTGTAGCCATTTGATTTCCTTAGCACAGTACCCACCAGAACAGCCTGCCTACAAGAAACACCTGAACAAATGAAATCAGAGGGCTCTTCTGTTCATTTTTGTCAACAGCTTCAACTGTTCACTCCTTTTTCTTTGAGCTGTCAGCACTTACCAGAACATCCCATCTTCCAGGACTTGAAGTGCTCTATTACTATTTCCTCCAATTTCTTTAATTTTGGATGACTGTAAATAAATTCCTTTTTATTTTCAGACACTGAAAAAAAAGACAGAAAGCAATTAGAGATATAAATGAAACTGCCACAACTATAAAGATTCAATGAAGTTCTCCTGCTTTTCTCCTTTTCTCCTGCTACAGTTCTCCAGTATCACAGAGTCACAGAATGGTTTGGGTTGGAAGGGACCTCAAGGATCCTCAAGCTCCAACCCCCAAGTCAGGCATACAGATTCCTGGTGCCTGCACTCACTGCATTCACCTAAACAAAAACTGCAGTGAACTACTTACTGAAGTCTGTTTGTTAAATCCAGTTTTTTAAAGCATGCTGTTATCATGTCACAGTCACAGTGTGAAAGGTATGCAGCCAAAGCATAATATTTCAACCTTTCATTTGAAATCAAATTACAAACTTCAAATGCACAGAACTCATGGGAAGGTAGCTAAACCCACCGAGAGATGGGAAACACCACAAAGAGTCTGGAGAAACTGATCTCAAATAAAGAACTATATAGCCAGGTGTATCAAAATGCACAGCTTCCTGCATCCACAAACTGTGCAGAAATACTCAGTGTTTCCATTAAACAGAAAGTAAATATCCTGTCCCTAAAGGGGAAACACCAACCTGTTCTACTCTTGTGAAGATTTCCATTTGCTGAAGTCTGACACATGTCTGAAAACATGTCTGCCAGCTGCTGGTACAGCCTCATGAAGTCCTCATTGCGACCAAGTTCATTCTTTGTACGAGTTAATCCTGTGCAAAAGAAGTTAAAACACCTCAGCATTCAGACTCCAGAGCAAATCTCACTTTTGCAGTCCAAAAGATAAACTTCTCAAAAGCAGTGAACTCCTTTCAAGAGCTAAGTGCCATAAGTTGGCTTAGGAAATACAGCAAACATTGTTTAGAGTCGGTATTTTCTCAGGGAAAATGCCACTGGAGATCTGAAGGATGAAAACTATTTGTAGGAACAGAAGCCTGGGGTCCCTGGGTAAACTGAAAGCTCCTACCTCAACCATTCAGCAGGAAGAAAGCTGTCCAGAAATGCTGTGGGTTTTTTTTTAACCGACTGACAAGAAAGAAACCTCGTCTAAAAGCTCAAAGTAACAAACCAACAAGTCTCTGGGATGACTTTCTGACAGTGCAGAAAAGAATTTTGTTCCATTCAAATCAGAAAGCAAATGTACCAAATGCAGAACAGAAAAACCAGTTACTAAAAATATTTTCCCTCTGTCACCTTTTAACAGCAGACGTGAATTTAAGGCGTCTGAGAATCAAGGAAGCACATGAAGTGCTCCCCAGCACCAACAGGAGCTCTGTGCCATCAGAGAACAACCTGAAATCAACTGTAAAAAGGACAGAAGCATAAAATTCACAAGACAATATATTAGCACACACACACCATAAGCAGACATTCTGCAGACACTCTGTGGTATGTGATGTGCACTGCACACCTTCGGGTCACACACAGGACAAAGCAGTGCTGTTTTAATTAAGCAGTGCTTTGGGCAAAGTGCTGGCTAAGCTATCCCAAGTTACGTGGCCAGATGACACACATGCAAAGGAGAATGAAGCAAGAGACCACAAAGCTTCATCCCATGGCATTCTGCACTGCTGAAACCATCCCCTCCCTGACACAAACTGCAGTTTGACACTGCCAAGTGGAAATTCAGCAGAGATGTCAGAACCAAACCAGCTGCAGCTTCATATCTCCCTATGTGAGATCCTGCACAGCTGGGATAGAAATTCTAGTGTGATGTACCCACATTTATAATCTTCTGGCAAAGGTGCTTCAATCATGCATACACTTTAAGAACTTCTGCTACAGGGGGAGCTCCATACTGGGAGAATTGCTTTACCGAGCAATTTTGGTTTAAATAGTTTAGCACTTTATCTCTGTCTGTCCTGAGGTATTACTGCCTCTTAGTTTGTTTTTTTGTGCCTTATTTTTTGTCAAAATTACTGCTGTACATACACGTGCTTTCCCAAATATACCCCATCTGTAACACTGAGTTAATGCAATTCCTAGGGGGTCAAAGGAAAAACAAACACCAATTAGGCTTGCAACCCACTCGTTATATTAATTGATTTGTATAAAGCTAGCGAGACAGATGAGGTAAATTAATTGAGGAACAGTGGGAAAAAAAGGAAGGATGCTTCTGAAGACAGCTCACCTTTTGATCCGTCCATAATTCCACAAAGGTAGATGAATAACGATCGCACTCCCATTTGCTGCAGCAGCTCATAACCATGATATAAACTGATGCAGAGCGCAAAATCTCCTTCAATTATGCCTTGCTGCATCCCCTGTGAAAATAAAACCAGCTCACCATTAAATGAGATGATAAACAGCAGGAATCGTACTGCCATTCTTACAACAAATACGAGATGAGTGTCTGAGCAACAGGGCCAAAGAACAAAGCGATGCATAGCAAGTGTCTGCCTGCAGGCAGGTTAGAGGAGTTGGGCACCCCATGACAACTGACAGACAAGAGGTGCAGTCATGGCATTTTGAGGGGAAGTGCAACTTTGCTCATCATGAACTACAGAGCAATTTCTCAAAACAATCCCAGTTGGGAAAAACACTTCTTCTCTTTTTAACTCTCCCACAGTAGAATCAGGAACGGTGGAACAAGTAGGACTGTTTTATTCCAAAGCTAAAACCAGGATGTTACATTAGAAATCTAAATACACCAAAAAACCTCATAAACTCCGAAGTGCTGTTTTTTATTTACTACTTTAATGTAGTAAATGTTTAACTAAAACGATTAACTTCTGTGTTTAATAACACGAAATAAATGACGGCGCTTACCACGTTTTGAGGAGAAGGGTTTTTTCTGTACTGATCTCTCGCTAGAATTATCTGGTACTTGGTGAGGCTGGGGATGTCCCGCCTTGCTAAAACCCCCATTTTGATCAGGCGTCCAGCAAACGTTTCTAGCACCTGCAAACAGAAGTATACAAGACATGTGAAGGTTAAAGATGTTCAGCCTCCTGCAGTAGTTTTATTTTTACATCTCTGGTACAGCAGGATGCAAATCACTCATTTACTTTACTTGAAATGTTGAATTGTTCATAACCAGGTGGTTTCAAAGTAACTTGTTAGTGTACCAGACACAACCATCACAGTATTTTACCACAGTGCGGTTCCCTACTGAACTGCCCGCCATGGCAGCTCCTCCACATGCTGCCAACCCCAACCTTCTCCACGATGCTCAAACCAGCACCAGCAGACGACCAGCCCAGGTTGGAGGTGTGTGTGGCAGGGGTGGGAGCAGAGGTGAGCAGCAAGGGATGAGCAGAAGGCAGCTGGGCCCAGAACACAGGCTGCCCTGCTTCCCTCAGCCAGCAGGCTATTTATTTTTACACATCACATGTACCTGCTTTCCACATTGGTGAAACGAGGGAGCTGACCTGCACTAATTCACCGTAATCTTGTTTTTCCTCTTTGTTTCTCAGCCTTATGTGGTCAGGACTTATTTATGTATTTATTTATATAGACTTAGCTTTGCAGGAGCGCTAACTGTAATAATTGGAGTAATCAGATTTGCTCTACAGAATGACTTACAATCCACCAGCCCACTTGGCGAGCAGAACCCAAAGCACTCGGTGTCCTACAGCACGACGATACGCCTGCCAAAGGCACCCTGACCTATGGCAGCAGGCAGCCCCTGACCTGCATGCGGTGCTTCCCTGCTCTGCTGCAGCCTGCCCCAGCTCAGCCCAACCACAGCGCAGAGCTGCAGCCTAACAGCCCCTATCCCCTGTGCTGCTTCTCCCAGCCTGCTGAAAATCGAGTCTGACTGAACCAACGATGACATTCTTTCATTCTACACACAATGCTGACTTAAGTATGTCTGCAGTTTCTGAAGATGAAACACCCTAAGATGAAAACCAAAGCCATTTTAAAACTGTGATGCATGTTTGAACACTAAGTAACAACGCTCCATTCATCCTCCGCGTGCGTTTCATGCTGTGCTGGGTTTTCAGAGCCCATCAAGTTGCACAAATATTATTAATATCTGCACTATTCACACACCGTCAAGCAGCAGCATTTACTTTAACTGCTCTCTGCTGCTTTGGTTGTTTTCATAGTTTGGTGCTGCCTCAGCTTCTTGCCCTGTGTACAGTGCCTGCATGGCACGAAGAGGTAAATCCCGAGAAAGGGGAGAGGCAATGATTGCCACCACAACTCCAGCGGTATTAATCACCCAAAGAAACAAAAAACACACAGAGAACGGTGATAGGGCAAAGGAAAAATTGTGAAAGCAGAAGCTAAACTGAGAAAACAACGCACTGGGGAATTTCCATGCTGCTGGCTGTGGGCCCACAGCTCTTTCAAAAACAACTCTCTGCAGTCGGCAGCTAAGCGGATTACAACAGATAAAGGCTGCTGAGAAATAATAGAAACACAGCCTAAATTCCAAACACCAGCGCACCTCAGGCTGCCGTGGGCCTTTGGACAGGAACAGCACAGAATCATAGAATTGCTCAGGTTGGAAAAGACCTTAAGGATCATCGAGTCCAACCACGGCCCAACCATCCTACCCCAACTCTAAGAACATCACATCCCTGAGCACCACATCCAAACGGTTTGTAAGCACATCCAGGGATGGTGACTCAACCTCCTCCCTGGGCAGCCCATGGCAGTGCTTCACAGCCCTTTCTGCAAAGAAGTGTTTCCTGATATCCAACCTAAACCTCCCCTGGCGCAACTTGAGGCCATTTCCCCTCATCCTGTTCACCTGTTCACCAGTGAGAAGAGACCAGCCCCGCTCTGCTGCAATCACCTTTCAGATATTGGAAGACAGCAGTCAGGTCTCCCCTCAGCCTCCTTTTCCCCAGACCAAACAGCCCCAGTTCCTTCAGTCTCTCCCCATAGGCCACATTCTCCCAGCCCTTCACAGCCTTGTTGCCCTTCTTTGCACCTGCTCCAGCACCTCCACGTCCTTTCTGTACTGAGGTGCCCAAAACTGAACCCAGAACTTGAGGTGAGGCCTCACCAGTGCTGAGTACAGGGCAGGAGTTCCCCAGTCCTGCTCACCACAGCATTCCTGACACAAGCCAGGACGCCACTGGCCTTCTTGGCCACCTGGGCACATTGCTGGCTCATATTCAGCTGCCTGTCCATCAGTACACCAAGGTCCCCTTCCATCAGAAAGACAGAATGTAGAATATATATACATATACACATATGTATACATACACACACACAAAACCACCCAGAAGCCTGAACTGCTCCTTTTTTTAGTGGAATACCACTTGCACAGCACTTCTTGCTCCCATCGGAACCCAAGCAGTTAAGTGATGAGAACAATGGAGATGCTTAGGATCAAGCTTTGGTCACAACTAGTGGAAATGGGGTCAGTCTCTCAACACAAAAATATTTATTTAGAAAAGAAATTAATGCTTTAATTAAAAATTAAAGCCCACATGAGCATAATATCTCTGCACTGGTTTGTTATTTCCTATGCTTGTTGCATAACTTTTTTGTTTTTTAATTTCCCATTACTTGTATTTTTATGTTTCTTCTCTTGACCTGGTTTATAACATGCAAGAAAATCATATTGGCACTGTTTGCTCAGTGTCCAATTTAATCATCTTCTGCAAAACAAACCAAGGAAGACTATTACAAAAGACAGCAGGATCCAGGCACCTGGAGCTTCAAAACTAACAGAACAGTAAACATAACCTACTTAGAAGAGATACAGAAACAAGCACTACTCAGAGTGATTGCTTTTATCTGGTCTCCCTACCTTTACTTTTAATTGAAAAGATAATACTTCTGGATTAGGCCTCCTGAACCTTTCCAAAACATTGACATGTTACATTACACTCATTTAGATGAATTTCTTGCTAGGACTAATGACTTCTTCTAGCTTGCTAAATGCAATTTAAAAAGCTGACAGATTTACTACCAGTATATACAAGGCAGCCGGTGAAGTTACCCACGCTGCACTAAAACTGCCAGGAACACAAAGGTTTTGGCAGAACAAGAACCTTCCCAGCTCCAGCCGTGCCAAACGCAGAACCTATATGCAAGGATACAAGGCTGCAAGGTGTGATGGAGAGCTACTATCACAGCTTTCCTGTGTGGGAACACCACTGTGTCCTACATCTGCACATGGCCTAATGGCACACGGGGCCAGGCAGCTTCACAACACCCCTCTGGGTTTGTTGTACCCCACACAAACATTGCACTGCTCAACTCTCAACTCTGGAGTAGCAACTTTTCAACAGAGTGAATTAAGAAAAGAAGGAAAGAGGAGGCTTTTCCCACATCTGGACCCCACAGTTCTCAGCTGGAAAGCTGGTTGAGCAGCGTATTTGCCACAGGTCTTCAGGGAAGGGTTCTGGTTGTACCGTGCTGGTGGAGTGACTTTGTAGGAAGGCGTGAAGGCAACAGGGGTCTTCCAATATCACATAGAATCACACAGAATCACATAGAATCAATGGAAACGACCTAAAAGATCATCTAGTCCAACCGTCTGCTCATCACCATTGCCACCACAAGCACTAAACCATATCATGCAGCACGTCATCCAGACGCCTCTTCAACACTGCCAGGGATGGTGACTCCACCACCTCCCTGGGCAGCCATTCCAGTGCCTGACCACTCTCTGAGAGAAAAAGTTCTTCCTCATGTCCAACCTAAACCTCCTCTGATACAACTTGTGGCCATTACCCCTTGTCCTGCTCGCTGCCCGGGAGAAGAGGCCAAACCCCTCTCCACCACAGCCTCCCTTCAGGAGGTTGCAGAGCGCAGTCAGGTCTCCCCTGAGCTCCTCTTCTCCACACTGAACAATCCCAGCTCCCTCAGCCGCTCCTCATCAGCCCTGTGCTCCAGACCCCTCACCATTTCGTTGCCCTTCTCTGCACACGCTCCAGGGCCTCAAGGTCTTTCTTGTAGTGAGGGGCCCAAAACTGAACACAGCACTCGAGGTGCGGCCTCACCAGAGCTGAGTGCAGGGGATGCTCACCTCCCTGCTCCTGCTGGCCATTCCTAATGCAGGCCAGGATGATATTATTCAGGGCTCATGTTCAGCCGAGCACCAACCAACACCCCCAGCTCCTTCTCTTCTCCACACTCACAGCCACTCATCCCCAAGACTATAACGCTGCATGGGGTCGTTGTGACCAAAGTGCAGGACCAGACACCTGGCCTTGTTGAACCTCAGCCCAGCGATCCAGCTGATCCAGATCCCTCTGCAGGGCCTCCCTGCCCTCAGGCAGATCCACACCACCTCCCAGCTTGGTGTCATCTGCAAACTTACTGAGGATACAATCAATGCCCTCATCTAGGTCATCAATAAAGATACTAAACAAGATGGGCCCCAGTACCGACCCCTGTGGTACACCACTTGAAACGGGTCACAGCTGGACTTCACTCCATTCACCGCGACCCGCTGGGCACGGCCCTCAGCCAGTTCCTTACCCAAAGAAGGGCAGACCTGTCCAGGTCACAGGCAGCCAGTTTCCCCAGAAGCAGCCCGTGAGAGATCATGCCAAAGGCTGTGCTGAAGTCTAGGAAGACATCAGCAGCCCTTCCCTCATCTACCAGACTGGTCACCCAGTCATAGAAGGAGATGAGGTTGGTCAAGCACAACCTGCCTTTCATGAACCCTGCTGGCTGGGCCTGATCCCCTGGACACTGCGTACATGCCGTGCAATCTCATCCAAGATGATTTGCTCCATCACCTTCCCTGGTACCAAGGTCAGGCTGACAGGCCTATAGTTCCTCAGATCCTCCTTACAGCCCTTCTTGAAGATGGGAGTCACATCAGCAAGCCTCCAATCCTCTGGGACTTCACCAGTTAACCAGGAGCACTGACAGATGGCTGAGAGGGGCTCGGCAATCACCCCCGCCATGGGGTGCAGCCCATCCGGTCCCATGGACTTGTGACAGTCCAGATGGAGGAGGAGCTCTCTGTCTCCACGGAATCA